TTGGGCTTCAGCATGCGGGGTGGCTAAATCGAACACAAAAAAACAAATAAGGTCGGGCTTTGTTTCACGCACAAGACTGACTTCTGTTGCATCCAGCAACCGGCAAGAAGTGAGAATGATGGATTCTACGTCATCCATCTAATGATGGAGTACAGAAGGGATGTGCAATCACTTTGCATGAAATCTTCATCTGATACCCATATCCAGAGATGGCCCGAAGCCTTTGGATCCGTGCCAGATAATCGACTTCGAAATGATTTCTACCGGATCCAACAGGAAATTGCGTCCATCATCATCAAAGATGTCCTCGAAGAGAATGGGATGTTCTATGCCGGCCCAATATCGCGAGCTGACGTCCGAACCCGCATTGCCCTACAGCGTTAGGACATGACGCCTTTCACTAAGCTTGGGTCTGTCCTCCTGGATATGGACAGATGGGAAGAGTGCACTGCTTAAAAACAATGTGTCTGTTTAGTTACTTGTTACTTTCTGTACGACGAAACTTCGAATCTCTCAGTACGACGAAACTATTAGATGTATGGTGCCGTGCTCTAGTTAATTACTTTCGGTACGATAAAATTTGTTAACTATGTTTACTATATATGTTGCTTCTATTTCATAACTGTTTTATTGAATTCGCTTCATGGTATATATATGTGCATCTCTGACAGGTATATAGATCAACGATGGCGAGGAAGTGGTATGCCGTGTATGTAGGGCATGTTCCGGGTGTGTATGATGAGTGGCCAGAGTGTCAGGCCCAAGTCTCTGGCTTCTCCGGCGGAAGCCAGAAAGGGTTTGATAGCAGAGCGGAAGCCGAAGCTAGTTACTTGAGATTCATAGCAAAACAGGGGATTCAAAACCAGCGCCGCTACAAAAACTACTACATAATACCGCTTTTGATCATCGTGATCGCTCTTATCGTGTATGTCTTAGTTTAGGTAGATGATGAAACATGTGTCTACGGTGACAATGTAAGATACATGTCATCATTATAACTTGTATCGCTATTTCGAGATGATGATGAGATCGACATCATTTGTGTTGAGACTATGTTGATATGATGAGACTATGTTGTACCACTTCGATGATGATGATGAGACATTCCATTTTCATATAGTTCCAGTGTATGTGTATGTTGTAACTGTATAAAACATGTAAAAATACGAATACAACAACATAAAAAAAGAAAATACTAGCAGTAGCGTGGGGTATTGGAGTAGTAGTAGCGCTGCTTACCAGTAGCGTTTGTTTGTTGGGCCACGGTACTAGCATTAGCAGTAGCGATGGGCAGAGGCGCGCTACTACTAGATACAGAGAACCAGCGCTACTGCTAAAAAATAGTTGTAGCGCCGTAGCAGTAGCGCGCCTACCCGCGCTACTAATAGCCAAATAACCAGCGCTATTGATAAGGGTTTTTCTAGTAGTGCATCTATAGGTTCAGCTACACGTCATTATTGCACGACTCAGAAAATCTACACATTGCTGCAAGTTCTCCCACCGCAAGCCGCTAGGCACCTGATACACTCCCACTACTCATCACATCAAGCAATACAACCACCAAGCTCACGACTAGTGGAGGCCACATGCTTGAGGGGTACATTCCATCCCACAGTCTGGATCCGACACCTAGGTTCACTTTCTCAGATATGGGGACAGGGGCTCTGGTAGGGATGAGGTTGTGATGGCTCAAGTACAATGGGGTATAGGAGAGCTCCGATTGTGGTACCCAGAGAGTGCAAGAGGCCTCATGGGCATCATACCGGGAGAGCAAAGAGAAGTTTTATATTTTTTGTACGCAGTATGTAGTTGCATTGAGCCGGGAGCCCGAGACTGGACTTTAGGGTTGTGAGATGGGATGAAAATAATGATTTAGGGTCACCACTTTGGCATATAAGTGGTGCATATTTATTAATGACGAGTCCATTGTTGCACTTGGCCAGCTATTGGTAGGGAATCACTACTAATGGACTCTATTTTTCCTATATAAGTTAACTTTTTTGTCTTCATTCAGCGTATGCTATAAACACCATTGATGGATTTATGAGCTCAACAAGACGACGTGTGTCGTCCCTTCAAATTTCATGGCTTGATGAGCTCAGCGAGATGACGTGCATCGCACAAGATGTGTTCCGGCATGAATTGTGACATCACGTGGAAACCATTGACGTGTATATGATTTTCTGCGCTCCCAAAATATAAGGGGCCAACGGTCCGTGCACATAAATTTAATTATTCAAATGGACACCAAATATACAAAGTTATAAGAGGAAGGTTTAAATGTGTGCTAAAATTACATATCGGCACAATTAAGGCAGAAAATCTTAGGAAATATTCTTACAATCTTTCACCATATCAAAATTACATATGGCAATGTTGAACACAAATCGGGCAACTCCGAACCTAGAGGACACGAACTAGTTAGAGGTGCTTCACTATGGAACCCAGGTCGAGGTGCCCTTGGTACCCTTGCGATCCTAGATGCTTCTAAGCCCTTGGGACAGAGCACAGGCCCTTGGGACAGAGCACAGGGTAGGGGCATATAGCATCCAGAACAACACAAACT